ATCATTTAAAAGCTCATATTTCATTGTCATATAAAGCTATCTTGATGAAATTCGACACAAATATGTTTAGTCTAAATATAAATCACTCTACGAAATTTTTTCCGGATAGGTCCGTAATTGGTCATAGCTCCCATATAAAGTCCACTTCCGAAAATCACTTAAACGCATATATTTCATTGAATTATAAAGATATCGGGATAAAATTTGACACAAATATTTTATGTATACATACAAATCATTTTACTAATTTTGTTACGGATCTGTCCATTATTGGTCATAGCTCCCATATAAGGCCCACTTCCGAAAATCATTTAAAAGCTCGTATTTCATTGTCATATAAAGCTATCTTGATGAAATTCGACACAAATATGTTTAGTCTAAATATAAATCACTCTACGAAATTTTTTCCGGATAGGTCCGTAATTGGTCATAGCTCCCATATAAAGTCCACTTCCGAAAATCACTTAAACGCATATATTTCATTGAATTATAAAGATATCGGGATAAAATTCGACACAAATATGTTTTGTATACATACAAATCATTTTATTAATTTTGTTACGGATCGGTCCATTATTGGTCATAGCTCGCATATAACCCCATTTCCGAAAATCACTTAAAAATACATATTTCATTGTCAAATAAAGCTATCGTGATAAAATTCGACATAAATATATTTCGTATAAATATGAATTATTCCACTAAATTTTTTCCGGATAGGCCCATAATTGGACATAGCTCCCATATAAGGTCCACTTCCGAAAATCGCTTAAACACATATATCTCATTGAATTCTAAAGCTATTGGGATAAAATTCGACAAAAATACGTTTTGAGTACATACAAATCATTTCACCAAATTTTTTACGGATCGGTCCATTATTGGTCATAGCTCCCATATAACCCCATTTCCGAAAATCACTTAAAAATACATATTTCATTGTCAAATAAAGTTATCTTGATAAAATTCGACACAAATATGTTTTGTCATTATATGAATCACTCTACGAAATTTTTTCCGGAGAGGCTCCCATAGAGGGTCCACTTACGAAAATCACTTAAACGCACATATTTCTTTGAATAATAAAGCTATTTGGATAAAGTACGACTCATTCTACGGATTTTTTCTTCCGGATCGGTCCATAGGTTGTCTTAGCTCCCATATTAATATACATTTTTCTCGACCTAATTAAAATTAGTTTGACATATGCATAAATGTTAGTACCCTTAATAAGGAAACAAAAATTTTACCAACTTATCTAAAAATTAGATAGTTAAATGGGTTTCAATAAAAAGTAGCTTGCTGGTGGAGGGTATTTAAGATTCGGCATAGCCGAATATAGCACTCTAACTTGTTCTTTAACAAAAAAGTTAAACCCAACAACCAACCAAACAAACAAACAGCCAACCAACAACCACACGTTTATAAGTTCTTCTTATTATATAAAATGTTCTTTTTTCAACGTTTTTCTGTAATAAACGCATTACTTGCACTTTTGCCCCCCAAATTATAAAACCAACAACAACAATTATAATGCAGTATATAAAAGTTTATTCTCTTTTGTTTGTTGTTTTGCATACATTTGCTTATGAACTTCATCGTAATAGAAACGTAAAAGATACTTGAGGTGGTGTTGAAAATTCCATTTTTTCTGTTTGTGTTGTAGGTGTATTAATGTTGTTGTTCTTGTTATATTTTCTGCAAACTTTGCAAAATAAAAAAAGCGAAATTGTTTTAACATCACAATTTAAAGTTGATCGAAATCTGTTCTTGTCTATACTGTTTTTAAAGTAAATATTTTTGTAAAAAGTAAATTTCAAAGATTTTATATAAATTACGATGATCCAGATTTGCACAAGGGTATTGATTGTATGTAGTTGGAAAAGAACATTTGCAATATTAAGGAATTACAAAAGTATGAAATTTGTACTTGAAAAGTAGTTATGCATACTTATACAATACTTCTAAATAATTACGTTGCATTCATTAGCGTGTTTTATAGAATTGTAATCCAGATTGAATGAAAATTAAGTTATGATTAGTAAAATTTTTCAATACTCTTTAAAAATGCAGATCTATGGTTGCCATTTAGATATATTCAAATCTATTTCGATCGGCAACCCTTTATGGAGGTAGCTATTTGAACAATCTTCTACGGAGTCAAAGAAAATTGCTTTGAGTTATGACTTTGATTATACATTCAGAATGATTTGTATATACATATATTTCATTCTCTTTTTGTGAATGAAATATATGCGTTTAAGTAATTTTCGGAAGTGGAGGTTATGTGGGAAACAAGACAAATTATGGGCCTATCCAGGAAAAAATATCGGAGTGTTTTGTATATACAAACAAAAAAAAACTTATTTATACGAAAATGTATTCCAATAAATTTATCTATCAACGAAATATGCTATTTTCGGAAGTGTATCTTATATGAGAGACCAATATGACCAATTATAGACTGATCCGGAACAAATTTGGTAGAGTCATTTATGTATACACAAAACATACCTATTTATGTCGAATATTATTCCAATGTCATTATTTCTTAATTAGTTATGTGCATTTAAGTAATTATCGGAAGAGGGCCTTACATGGGAGTTATGACCAATTATAAACCAATCCAAAAAAATTTCGCCCGGTGATTTATATGTTCTTTAAACATTTTCATGACGAATTTTATACAAATATCTACTATCAGTAATAAAAATTTGTGCGTTTACGTGATTATCGGAAATTGGCCTTATATGGAAGCTATGCCTAATGCGACGAATTCGAAAAATATTTTGCAGAGTAATATACATATGTATGTGTATACAAGACATTTTTAAAATATCTTTATATCTTAATTAGTTATGTGCATTTAAGTGATTTTCGGAAGTAGGTCATATGTGGGAGCTATGGACAATTATGGACCGATACAGATCTACGTTGGGTTTTAGAGGCATATTATTTTTGCATTTTATCGAAATATGTGTCAAAATTGTCTAATGAATCTTCTCGCGACAAACTCAACATTACGGAATTTTTGAGACATATTTCGAAAAAAAAATTGCAAGGGATCTTTTTATACCCACCATCAAAAAGATGAGGGGTATATTGTTTTTGTCATTCCGTATGAAACACATCGAAATAATCATCTAAGATCCATAAAAGTATATATTTTCTGGATCCTTATTAAATTCTAAGACGATCTATCCATGTCCGTCCCTCTGTCTGTCTGTTAAAAACACGATAGAGTCCAAACGGAAGTAGCTAGCGAGCTGAAACTTTGCACATATACTTTTAGTTGATGCAGTTTGTTTGGTGTTGAACATTGGCAATATTGGTCCACGATTTCGACTAGCCCCCATATAAAGGACCCTTCAGAAAATGACTTTAACGCTCATAACTGTCTAAAAGAAGCATCTATATCGATGAAATTCGACATGAATATTTTTTATAGGAACGTAAATCGCTTTGTAAAATTTTATAAGGATCGGTCCATGATTGATCTTATAAGGTCCCTTTCAGAAAATAATTTTAACTCTCATAACTTTCTAAAAGAAGCATCTATAGCGATGAAATTCGACAAAAACATATTTTATAGGAACTTTAATATCTTTGTTCAATTTTGTAAGGATCGGCCCATAATTGACCCTATCCCTCACATAAGGTTTCCTTCAGAAAATGACTTTAACGCACATTACAGACTAAAAAATACGAGTATAGCGATGAAATTCTGCAGAATAAGTTTAGTGCGAGCCAAACTTTCTCTACCAAATTCTATGATGTTCGGTCAGTAATTGACCCAACTCCCATATTTGGTGGCCTTCAGAAAATGACTTTAACGCTCATTACTAGCGAGCGATGAACAAGATTTGTATAAACTAAAATTGTTCTAGAAAAATTTGACGACGATCGGTCCATAATTGAAAATAACAAAAGCATCGATTCTAAAATATAAAAGTTTATAAGGAAGCATTCCTTTTCGGTAATGATTTGATGGTGGATATATAAGATTGCTTTGATGTGGAACTAGATCCAAGCACTTGCAGCTGATCGTGTAAATTGGAGAGGATTTGTTGGTGCCCTATGTTCTTCTACTACATGAACTTTCTATTAATTATTCTACTACTTTGTACATAATTATTATGAATAAAGGCATTAAAAAAGATATATATAAGATTCGGCACTGCCGAATATAACACTCTTACTTGTTTGTACAGAGATCAAGACTTTTAATCGCTGGAGGGAACTGAGGGCCCTTCAAAAAAATTTATTTTTTCAGTACGTGTTCAGTACATTAATACGCATCGATTGAGAGGTATTCTTACAAAAGATTTCTAAAAAGGCTGTTCCTCGGGACACCCCTCAGAAATGTGTACCTTTTACATGACTTCAAAATTTCATATGAAATATGAAGAAAATGGAAAAACCTCCTTTGGTCTAACTTCAAAATATTGATCTCAGGACGAAAAAATTGCTTGTAGATGGTGCAAATTATTACAAAAACAAACCTTCGTCACTGTTATTAAATAAACATGTTATACTTTAAACAGCAACATATGTTTCTATACGTTAATAATAAACACAAATTAAATGCACACAAATGTTGCCAATAATAAAATAACTGGCCGAATTTGTTTTAAGAGTTTTATGACTACGACTCTCTCAACATCATGGTATCAAATTCGATGCTCTCTTGAAACAATCACTCTTTTAAAAAGTACTACGAATTTTAAAGAGTAGCAGAGCCAGAGAGTTTGTATTAAATCCGAAAAAAATAAAGTTATATGGAAAATGTTAAATGAAATACAACAAATAAAAATCTCGCTTTGAACCATGAACTAAAAATGTAAAATGTTTGTATCACACGCACACACATCACAGTGTTTCGAGGGTGTGCAAACAACAGCAGCTGTAGAAACACAAAACAAAACAGAAGACAATAGAAAACATTGAAAGAGAGCGCGCTAACAAGACGGACGGACATGTTGACTCTCCGAATGATAAAAATGTTTAGGTACCTTTAGTTAAGCGAAAGATCTCTGTTGCAACGGACAGACGTTACGGATGGCAACGGTATTTGCGTACGATTTTCTTGGATTATTTCAGTTTTCTGTTTCTGTAGTTCTTTCTACATGAAATTTATAATTGTTTGCCTTTTATGCTCTCAACAAAAACAAACAAAATAAAGTGTAATAATTAGAAAAAGTCATTATAACCCGAAAAAAAGTAAACAAATTTATTAAATGTTTTGTGTTTCAAATCGAAAAAAAGATAATTAATAATTTAGAGAAATAATAAAAACATAACTACTAAAGAAATGGATACAACAAATATCAAGAGGATTATAAAACCGTTAATTTTACAATAAAATAAAAACAACAAATGTGTGTGCAGTGTACAACAATAATTTACTAAAAGGTAATACCTACAACGTCAACTAAATTTAAAGCATTCAATTTTAACAGTGATTTTTATTGTGTGTTAATAATGAGAAAAAGTTTAAAATTAAGAAAAATTTAAAAGTTTTGTAAGAAAATTAATGTCTTAAAAGAAAATGTTGGCTTCAACGCCAATATTATGACAAAAATATATTCAAAGTGCAATTATCACACCAATACAAACTGAATTGTTTTCTTTGCAACAAACAATTCCTGCCCCTTTGGATAATTTACAATTTACTGGAAAACTGAAATAGAGTTTTCTTTATAGAAAAAACTACAAAGAAAAATTTAAAAGGTGTTAGAGCAGGTAAAATGTACAAAAACCAACACTGAAATGGACGGACAGACATTAGTAGTGATTGTGTGTGTTAATTGTACCCAGCATCTGGGAAGAGTTTGGATAACATGTTTATATACCATACATACATACCCAACATTCATGCTTGATGTTATAAAACATAAAAACGTTTTTATACCCTCCACCACCATCAGTGGTGATAGAGGGTATATATAAGTTTGTCGTTCCGTGTGTAACACCAAGAAATATTCATCTAGGACCCAACAAAGTATATATATTCTGGGTCCTTATGAAATTCTGAGTCGATTTAGCTATGTCCGTCTGTCCGTCTGTCTGTCTGTCTGTCTGTCTGTGTAAAACACGCTCACGTTAAAACTAAGCAAAGGAAATCAACCAAATTCACCCAAAATATTTATTGTTATCCTAAGCAGTTTGGTATTGAAAATCAGCAAAATCGGTTCACAACGTAAAAAGCTATGAGTAAAAATTTCAGACTACCTCGAAAAAAATTACGTTTTTTTCATCATTTTTTTGAAGTTTTCTCAGAAACTACCAAAGATATTTTGATGAATTTTGTCACACATTATTTTTTCATGGCAGTGATCAGTTATGTTGAAAATCTTTAGAATCTATCCAATATTTCCCATAGCCCCCATACAAAGGTATATATTCCCGGAAATTAGTTTATCGCTAATAACTCCCTCAAATATATCGGTATCAACACAAAATTTTGCACATGCAAATATAATATGAACAGAAATCATACTGCCAACGCAGATCTCAGTCGGTCCACAATTGGCCATAGCTCCCATACAAGGTCCACTTCCGAAAATCACCTAAACGCACATATTTCATTGATGAATAAAGCTATTGTAATAAAATTCGAGTTAAATATGTTTTGTGTACATACAAATCATTCTACGAAATTTTTTACGGATCGGTCCATTATTGGTCATAGCTCCCATATAAGGCCCACTTCCGAAAATCATTTAAAAGCTCATATTTCATTGTCATATAAAGCTATCTTGATGAAATTCGACACAAATATGTTTAGTCTAAATATAAATCACTCTACGAAATTTTTTCCGGATAGGTCCGTAATTGGTCATAGCTCCCATATAAAGTCCACTTCCGAAAATCACTTAAACGCATATATTTCATTGAATTATAAAGATATCGGGATAAAATTTGACACAAATATTTTATGTATACATACAAATCATTTTACTAATTTTGTTACGGATCTGTCCATTATTGGTCATAGCTCCCATATAAGGCCCACTTCCGAAAATCATTTAAAAGCTCGTATTTCATTGTCATATAAAGCTATCTTGATGAAATTCGACACAAATATGTTTAGTCTAAATATAAATCACTCTACGAAATTTTTTCCGGATAGGTCCGTAATTGGTCATAGCTCCCATATAAAGTCCACTTCCGAAAATCACTTAAACGCATATATTTCATTGAATTATAAAGATATCGGGATAAAATTCGACACAAATATGTTTTGTATACATACAAATCATTTTATTAATTTTGTTACGGATCGGTCCATTATTGGTCATAGCTCGCATATAACCCCATTTCCGAAAATCACTTAAAAATACATATTTCATTGTCAAATAAAGCTATCGTGATAAAATTCGACATAAATATATTTCGTATAAATATGAATTATTCCACTAAATTTTTTCCGGATAGGCCCATAATTGGACATAGCTCCCATATAAGGTCCACTTCCGAAAATCGCTTAAACACATATATCTCATTGAATTCTAAAGCTATTGGGATAAAATTCGACAAAAATACGTTTTGAGTACATACAAATCATTTCACCAAATTTTTTACGGATCGGTCCATTATTGGTCATAGCTCCCATATAACCCCATTTCCGAAAATCACTTAAAAATACATATTTCATTGTCAAATAAAGTTATCTTGATAAAATTCGACACAAATATGTTTTGTCATTATATGAATCACTCTACGAAATTTTTTCCGGAGAGGCTCCCATAGAGGGTCCACTTACGAAAATCACTTAAACGCACATATTTCTTTGAATAATAAAGCTATTTGGATAAAGTACGACTTGAATATGTTTTGTGAGCATATAAATCATTCTACCAATTTTTTTTCCGGATTGTTCCATATATGGTAATAGCTCCTCCAAAAAAATCACTTAAACGCACATATTTCATTAACAAATAAAGATATCTTGATAAAATTCGACACAAATATGTTTTGTGTAAGGTCGTAGCCCCTATACATATAAAGTTCACTTCCGAAAATCACCTAAACGCACATATTTCATTAATTAATAAATCTATTGTAGTAAAATTCGACTTGAGTTTTTTTGGCATATAAATCATTATACGAAATTTTTTCCTTAACGGTTGATAATTGGTCACAACTCCCATATAAGGACCATTTCCGAAAATTACTCAAATGCACATTAACAATCAAAGTTATCGGGATAAAATTCGACATAAATGTGTATTTTGTATGTATAAATCATTCTACGGATTTTTTCTTCCGGATCGGTCCATAGGTTGTCTTAGCTCCCATATTAATATACATTTTTCTCGACCTAATTAAAATTAGTTTGACATATGCATAAATGTTAGTACCCTTAATAAGGAAACAAAAATTTTACCAACTTATCTAAAAATTAGATAGTTAAATGGGTTTCAATAAAAAGTAGCTTGCTGGTGGAGGGTATTTAAGATTCGGCATAGCCGAATATAGCACTCTAACTTGTTTTATATGGGTCTCTACAGTTATCCATCCATCTAATGAAGCAGTGAACTCCAGCCACTATCAAACCAGTCGTCGTCAGTCAGGCTTTATTAATAAAAATAAAACGACAACAACAACATCACCGTAAACTATAAAAAAGTCTCCTCAAAAGACAGCAACAACTACAAACAAACACACACAACAAGAAATCATACAAATATCAAAGAAAACCAAAGCCCGAAGTAAACGAAGTAAAGAAAAAATGCTCAAGTCGGCGTTTTATTTTTATTTTGCTTGTTTCTTTTTTTTAAATTTTACCTGTTAAACTGGTTCTTCAATATCACTATAAAATAAAATTCTTCTCTTGTCTCTTATGCCCCTCTCATACTCTACAATTACCTACCTTTCGTAGTTACTGTTGTTATTGTTGTTGCTATTGTTTGTCATCATCAGCAACCAAAGTTGTTGTCGTCGTCGTAGTAGTAGTCGTCATCATTGTGATGGTATTTGTTGTTGTTGTTGTTTTGGCCCATAGAATAATAAACAACAACAGCGACTATTACACTAACAAGAAATCTTGGTTTAAAGTTATAATCGTTTCTTAAGAAACGTACAAACGTGTAAAAGAAAATCACAAAGAAAAATAAAAAATAAATAAATATTAAAAAATATAAGAAAAAAATAATAATATACAGACTGCTGCAATCGAAAACGAGTTTTGTTATTTTTATTATTTTCTTCTTCTTGGTTTATTCGTAATTTATTTTTTTGTGTGTGTTTTTTTTCTGGCCAAGATTGACACTAGCAACAAAAGAGAGTGTGGTAGAGTGATAAAATGAGCAACAGATCAAGAGTTTAATAAAAAAACACAATATTTGATCTATACACAGAGAGAAATTAATGAAATCAGTTTTCTAAAGAGAAAACAAGATATGATATAAATCATTTCACAGATAGAACAACGAAAATTTTATAGATCGGAATGGATATGATTTGATCTAAATTGAAAAACGCTAAATTTAAATCAAGAGTTAAAAAATAATAGACCAGGAAAATTAGGTTTCAATTATGGGATTAAAAGTGCGAGATATTGGATGTCAAAGGTATATGAAAATCGGTTATATGTTATACATTTGTAGAGCATCGAATTTCCAATGTTTTGGCTGAAGATAATTTTTGCATATCAATACCTTTTTTCTACCTATAGAGCGTTTATTTTTCCTTGTAATGATATTTACAAATCATTATATTTACAAATTTCCTAGTAATATACCAATATAAATATACCAATATAGATTTCTCAGAAAACATCCTTCTAAACCATAATCCGACGTCTGTCTATCCAAAAATTACTAAAGGGTCACTAGTCGTAATTATGAGTATAATTGGTAGATTTAATCTACATATTCAGAGAAATATAATATTATGTTCGGTAATTGTTTTCAAATTTTATTCATATTTACGACCAATAACCATACCCAGCAAAAAAGAACTTCCAAAGAAGCGAAAAAGAACACAGGCTTGTCATAGGAGGGATAATTCCAAATTCACTACTTCTGAAGTCATTCTCAAGAAGTAATTTTAATGCTCTTCTTTTGGAAGTTATTCGGAAGTGTAATTGTAGTATTATAGAATACAACTAATTTGACTTAAATAATACTAACATTAATAAGGGTAATAGAAACATTAAATACAAAACCCCAAATACCTATAACATTTTTTATCTCATAAAAATGTAAGAACAAAAAAATATAACTTCAATATTGAAAATTATAATTATTTTAGCTTCTTCGGAAGTCTTTAAACATCACTTCCTCAAAAGGTAAAAAAATCGATTAGTGCTACTTTTTAAGTGGTAATAAATGTTATTCTTTTGGAAGTACTTCGTTTTATTTTTGCTGGGTATTGGACCTTTTCGATAGACGGAAATTGCACTATAGGTCAGGGAGTGATTCTGAGATAAAAGGTGTAATAAAAAGTTATTGTGTTGTAATTGTTCTTTAGCTATTTTTATAGCGAAAACTTATGACAATTTATAAAAGTTTGATTAATTTTAAATTTCATTACGAATAAAGATTTTAACATTTTGTTTAGCATGGTCTTAGCTGGTGGTGACTCCAACATCACGATTAATACAGCCTAGAGGTAGATAGCTGTACAAAGCTTTAGTTAATCGCAATACTAGTTTGGATTTCATATCTCCAGGTTATCCTACTTATTGGCCAATAAATCCTAAAAAAATTCCAAATTCTTATAGATTTTGCCATATATAAAAATATAAGTAGAAATTCCATATCCACTGAAATCTCCTATGATTTATCTTCTGACCACTCTCCTGTAATAGTAAATTATTACAGAAAATGTTATATCCATACTAAAACTAATAACAAATTCGGATATTAAAAGACATCTTCTAGAAAAAAGAAAATTTACTGCTTCAAAGAAAACTGAGAAGAGTGCTTCTATTAGAAGAGGATTGCATAAGTAAAAATTCTCCCTTTGAAAGGCAACAAAAAACATTAAGCCACCGGTAGAGTTACAAAATCCATTTAGAAAAACAGACGGAATTTGGATACGAAGTGCTAATGAAGAAGCCAATGTATTTGCTGAGACACGCATTTCAGACAAATGCTCCAATAAATAATTTGGACTTGGATGAAATCCCAACATCTGTAATGATGAATGCGCTTCAAATCTATAATAGTCCAAAAGATATCAGTATAACAATTAAAGAAAGCTTAAATGTGTGATTAATGATTAAAAACCTACCAAATGTGGCAATATTGTTGCTAGCAGCTTAAAACTGGGAGTTTAGCGTAAAAATTGAAAAATTTTCCAAATAATTATGATTCCAAATTTTCCCCTTTGGAAGGCAACAGACCTATTAGTCTACTTCCCTGCATCTCCAAGCTGTTTAAATGAACAGTTCATCAGTTTGGATTCCGTGAACAACATGGAAACATTGAATAGGTTAATCGGCTAACTGGAGAGATAAGAAAATCTTTTAAATTAAAGAGATATTGTTCTGCAAACTTTTGACTGTTGCTCAAGCTTTTGATCAAATATGGTATATCAACTATCGTTATTCTAAAAAGTAGGAGACTTCACGGGTAATTTATTGAGAACTTTAACTTCGCAAAATCGATTTCATAATTCTAAATCGTCCAACTAGATTTTATTCCACTTAAATTCCAATATTCCCACTTAATTGAATAATGAGTGCAGCATTTAACAATTTATACGATCTTATTAAGTGATCGTCTGATCCTGGTGTCATAAAGTATTGTGCACTTTATTATTATTGACTTTTTAATAATAATAGAATAAATGGAATTTAACTAAAAAAGAAGATTAATTAAGATAATCCCACGAATTAAAGAATTAATATAATCTTTAAAACCTTAAAATTTATCCCTTTCGTATAAGTGTTAAACACTGTCTAAATAAACGTTACTATTGTTTTATTTTTATAAAATTGCTTATTGCTTTTTTAAAAATTTCATATATTTTTAAAAATCTCGTTTAATTTTCAAGGAAAACATTGTCTCTCATTTAAATTCTGATATGTTTATCTCCGTTTTATTTAATTATTTGCTTAATTATGATAATGTAAGATCGTAAAGATAACAGAATTACATTATGACATTGCATGATCATTTATACAATATCATTTTGTTCACATTCCCACAATAATGGGAGGTTTATACATTTTGACAGACATGTTTGAATAAACATTATTTTAAATTAAAAGTTTTGACTACCTAGTTAATACATATAAAAATTCTCCAGTTTTAAAGTTTCCAATTTCTGTTTAGGGATTTATCAACAAAACTTAAGATCGTCCAAAATAAATGTTTCAAAGTTTTAGAACTTCACTATAATATTAAAGTGAAAGTTAATCAAAATGGAAAATTCTTGCAGTGGATCTGAATTGCCTCAGAAAACTCTTCTATACATTCTCGAAAAATTTTATTAAATTGCTAAAATTCAAACAATAATTTCCCATGAATATATGCAAAACCCCTTTTATTATATAATATTTGTAAATTTAAGCATTTTGATTTAGTATACTTTTCAATAATTAAATATTTAAATTAAACTTTTAATTATGCTAGTAAATGAATGTGTATAGAAATTATGTGGAGCATCACAGGAATAAACACATTGAAATAAACAAACTGAGAGTTTTAGTAGGAAAGTTTAGAATTAGTAACTACAATCTCTCAGCAAGAGAAAACTGCTTTTAATTAATTCATAATAAACATTTAAATACAAAAGATAATTAATAATAATGAAGAATGTTTTGTTGGAATATTTATAATACATAATCTGTTTTGAAACTCCTTAAAGGAATTTTACACAATTGGGAAACACTTCAGTAATTTTGAAAACAAATAAAAGCAATATTTAAGATTATCCTTATTATAAATATTGTTAAGTTTAATGGCAGAAATAATTTAAATTATAATTACTAAGTACCTATGTATTAAGTATGAAAAGAGCAAATGAAAAAAACTCCTGTTGACCTAAAAAATCTATTTCCTTTCTCTTTTCACATTTTATCAGTGTATTTTGGATACGATTCGAAAAGCTAAGAAATACACTGATAAAAATATTGTAGCTAAATTACCAAATGTTATATGCGAATGTTGAAGGTAACTTGGTGAGGAGAAACTTTTTTTTGCTTCTTGGAAACATTTTCAACATTTTGTTCTGCTTGTTTTTATGTGGTTTTATTGGAATTGTATTTGTTAAGTGGTTGTAGTTGTTGTTGGTATTGTTGTATCTGTTATTTGTAGTTTAAACTGTTGAAGCCTTTCAAGCGCAAGCAGACAATCGAACGTATAACCAAACAACACTCAACGTATCTCTAGTCAACACATTAAACCCTAAAACAACAAGACCAACAATTCTATATTGCTGATGGTTTTTTCTTCTTTCCATCTTACGGAATGGGCTTAAATTGTAATTGTGTGTGTGTGTGTGTGTACGGAGTTTGTTTAGTTGTTGTTGCTGGTATAAGTAAACAAGCCCTAAATTGCTTATTGCTGTAGTTGTTGTTTTTGTATTTGTTTACTTGCCAAGTTGCTGGATATTATAAGAATTTACCTGTTTTATTTTTTGTCTTCTTTTCGAGTTTTCTTACACTTTTTTTACCTTTAAACATAAATACTACAACAACAACAAAACCAGCAATAATAAAATGTTCTCGGTTTTCCAGTATATGTATGTTGTTGTATGTTTATTTTTAATTTGTGTATAGTTAATGTAATCAGCGATTTAAAGGAATTTAATCCTTACAATTTTTTTAACAACAACATCAATTATTCCAAACATATTTTTCAACTTGAATTAATAACGCCAAATAATTACTTAATTACACAGGCCAACAAAATTTGAAAAAAATCGAAAATCTGAAGGATTGGGCAGTGCTGAATCCAAATCTTTAATCTTTATTTTAAAGTCGAGAGAATGGACTTTTGGATGCTAGATTTTATAAATAAAGGAGTCTTTGTGCTGTTATAGCGCCTCAAATATGGTCGAAAATGGGATTTTTCCACAATTTATGACACGATATCTGGAAAACCTGATGTGATGTATAAATTTTGAGTGCTGTTCAATCCTTTGGAGAAGTATACTTTGGTTTCTGAGTTAAAAATTTATAAAATTATACAATAAACTTACTATATAAGTTTAAATCTTCATTAACATCAGCAATATCATGTTTCTAAAAGGGTTATATTTCTGAAATCCCATCTGACTTAACGAACATTCATTAGTTTTAAAATATATTAAACAATTTTGATCAATTTGCATACAATCACTTTAAGCACTTTATAACAGAATTTATTTTGAGATTAGCTAATATTCAAACCTAAACTGATCAAGTACTAAAGGTACTTTCATATCTATCAAATATTTTGACGCAAATAACGTGACCCCTATCTTTGAGGCGCCTTTATTACTAGTTTTGCCATTATTTGCAATTAAAAGAATCACTTGAGATCAATAAAACATCTACCAAAAAGTAGTGGTTACATCCTTTTCATCAAATATTTGATAGATGTGAACGTACCTTAAGAAGTACAAAAATAAAATTTTGATAAATTTCAGTACAATATTCTAACTATATACAGATTAGTATCAACATTTAAAGGAAGATTAATTTAGAGTAACCCGGCAACAATTAATAGCCGATAAAAACAAAGCGAACGGATCTGGAAAACTGAAAATTTATGGATATTTTTAAAGCTATGTATACACGGTTGTTAGATCTTACAACGTTGGCAGTAAAATGTGCAGAAAATGTCTACCAACAGTGTCAACTAACAGATTTAGTCGTACAATATTGTCAGTAATGCTTTTTCTGACAACGTTGCAAAAGAAAAATTGTAAGTTCACACGATTTTTAGACTTTTTCTGTACATTTTACTGACAACGTTGTAAGATCTGACAACCGTGTATCACAGCTTTAAGGAACCTTTAATATTTTATCTAAAAGTATTTTTGACTTCAGACTTGGGTAGAAATATAAAATAAAACACAAGCGAATATTTACTGAATCGTTAAACTATTTCGATTTTAAATACTTTCTTAATATCTCTAAAATATTTTAAAACCTAAAAATCACTGTTAATTTTATAGCCATATTAATGAATACTAATTTTATTCTCATTCATTAACTAGATAATTAATTCCTTTACATTACCGCTTAAGTATAATGTAAATGATTACTAAAATACTTTTTTATTTCTTTTCCTTTTCAGATCGAAAGAAAAAGGTTTCATATTGAAACAAACACATTATTACAAAAGGAGTCGAGTTTTTGAATAATAAAATAATAGAAAAAGAAAACATAGTATAAAATAACAAAATATAATAAAAAATAAGAATAAAATATAAATAAGAAATAATATAATAACGACAAGAAATGAAATGAAGAAGTGCATTGAAAAAATATAAGAAAGAAAAGAAAAAACAAGTCAACAAGTTTGAGACCAGTTTAAATAAAGTGAAACGTGCATAAAAAAGGGGTTTAAACCCGAGTGTGTGAGTTTGTGTATAAGAAAACAATTTTTTTTGTTCCATAAAAATACAAGAAGCCATTTTGTTATTTTCCCAAGAAGAAAAAAATCTATAAAAGAATTTATATGAAAAAAGAGGTTGTATTTTGTTTAAGGAAACTCAAATAAAAAACATTATGACCTAAAAAATAGGAAAAGTATTTTTTAAAATAATTGAAAAAAGCTTTCAAAAGAAAAACATAATGGCTGGCAAAATCTCACTAAAAACTTAGCAGTGAGTGAAAGGTTTCTATAAACTAAACCATAAACTTAATACCATCAACTAAAATTAATGAATTAATAAAAGTTCTATTACAAATATAGTGCAATAAATTTTGTAAAAATAACTAATTGAAATAGCAACAACAACGACAACAACAGCACCTAGTGTTTAACAACAACCACCTAAATGTTTTAACAAGTTTCAAACTATTTAAAAGCTTTAATTTTATTTCAAACGGGAATTTTATTCATAAATTTTTTTTACTATACTGTGTCTAACATTAAACTGAACTGAATTTCTAAATTTCTAAACTAATCTAAGACTAGAGCATGAATAAACTGCAACATCGACTAAAAGTATCTTTTACCTGTCGTCTCGCTGTCATTTGTGTTTAAATTGCAACAAACAAAACCAAACGTTTGCAAACAATTTCAGCAACATTAACCTCGCATACAGACAGAGGAGTGTGTTTGGAACCAACTGCAAACATATTCAAAATATTCTCTGCTTTGCGGCATAAACTTTCGACTACAATAGAATCATTTGTCGTCAGCATCATCATTATCAGCCGCATCAACCAGCAGCTTCATTTCAGCATTGTTTGACATCAAACAATTTTACTCAACTTTTGCAACAACAAATCGCAGTGATTTGTACTATAGCAACTGCAGCAACAACTAATATTACTACAACAAAATTAGCAACTTTTTAAAGCCCCGAACAACAACATAATGGCAGCAACTTGGAAATACTTTTTGATCGGTGAGTATTGGGAATTTACTGCAAACAAAATAACAATAATAAGAGAAAAAAAAATATCAAAAATTGCTATGACAAACTTCCAGAACAACAACAAAAGGAAAACTCAAAACTAACAACATTATGTATTTGTTAGATTGTTAGTAACAATCTTAAAGTACATGTGTATCTTCGAACTGACAAACCAACCAACAAGCCAGCCAGGCAACCAACATCTTTTTTACTTTATGAAAGTTTTATTTCTATTTATTATTGGTTGTTGTTGTTTTTTTTTTAAGTTGTTGGCATTATTTTTATGTTAGAACGAACCTCTTAGACGAACGTGAGTTGAAATTTTAAAAAGGAGTTGTGTTCAACTATTCTATTCTTTTGTGTTTTTTTCTTCTCTTTTCTTTGTTATTTTTGCCAATCGATGTCAGGAGAAAGTTTCCATTTCTTATTTGATTTTCTATATGTATGTATGTATGTATTTTCCATGTTATTTTCTTTAAACATTTATATTGAAAAATATACATAGACTTTTCCATTATTGGGGGTCAATAATAAAAAGTTGAGATTTTTTTCTTTTGATTTGATTTTAAAAAGAAATCACTTTGTTGCAAAACTTTTGTTAAAAATTCAAAGTTTTGGCAAGAAATTTACGCCTAAAAATCTTTGTTGAAAATCAATCTTAAAAGTTGAAAGTTCTTTCTTTTTAAGTTTTTCTTTGCCAAATTGTAAACGTGTAATAGGTGTTAATTAAAAGTTTATCTTAAAAGAAATCAAAAATAATTTAGAAAATATTTTAATAATTCAATAAATTCAGGGACTTTAAAAGCTAACTTAATTTCCACTTTTATATTAAAATTTTACAGATTTGTCACGCTTTAAAAACATAGACTTTGAATTAAAGTTGTTTGTTGATCATACTTTTTCGGGACAACATATTTTGATTTACTAAAGCTATGTATACACGATTGTCAGATCTTACAACGTTGGAAGTAGAAGATGTCTAACAATCTCGTGAACTTACAATTTTTCTTTTGCAACGTTGTCAGAAAAACCATTACTGACAATGTTGTAAGGCAAAAATTGTAAGTTGACACATAGTCAGCCAACATTGTAAAATCTAACAACCGTATATACAAAGCTTAAAGCTATGTATACACGGTTGCTAGATCTTACAACGTTGGCAGTAAAATGTGCAGAAAATGTCTAACAAGATGTATATACGTTTGTCAGATCTTACAACGTTGGAAGTAAAATGTCCAGAAAATGTCTAACAATCGTGTGAACTTACAATTTTCCTTTTGCAACATTGTCAGAAAAGGCACGATTGTTTGACATTTTCTGCACATTTTACTGACAACGTTGTAAGATCTGACAACCGTGTATCACAGCTTTAAGTCTTGTAATTCTGCTATTGATATCCCAAATAGCTTATTTTCCGAAATCCATTTAATTATATTTATATTTCTTAAAATTTTATTTAGTTCCTCTAGAATTATTTTAGTTTAATAAAAAAAAACTCCTACAAAGACTAATTAAAAGTAAATTAATTTATAAAATAATTTCATTTATTAGTTGATGCAACATTTTGCAAATTATTTTGTGTGCAAAAGTTTATATTTTCAATTAATATTGAACCAGCAGTTTTAAAGAGACACACTGACTCTCCCATAGCTGCTGAATTATTTTTGATATTAAAAATACAGAATTTTTCAGTTTCTTGTCAAATACCTGTTTAATCTTGAAAATTCCGAGAAAAGTCAAAAGCCACTTTTGTGTTTCCTAGTAGTCAAGCTGGAGGTCCATCATTACTATTGTTGCTCTAACAAAAATTAGATTTAAACTTTATAAGTTGTAAGCTAAAGGTAACAGCTTAGAACACTTACGTAGAGACAATCATCTGGAACTTCAGGGTGTTGTCAAAATATGTATGTATGTATTTTAATTTTATATTCATCTCTTGTATGATTTAATTAAAAATGCCACATATTTTACATGCAATAAAATTTTACATACAAATCTTTCTAATTTAAAGAGAATTTGTTAAATAACAATATAAAAAAACAAACAAAATCAGTGTTTATTACAACATTTAAGCCACTTTGTCACAATTTCATTTTATGTCTTCGTTGCAATTTATATAAATAATAAATTATAAGTAACAATCTATTAGTATGACATTTACCAGGAATCCATTAAATCCTTAACGTGATCCTTCTTCGACAAAAAATAATAAACAAAATAAGTAATGGTATAGAGTAAAAGGAGGAGATTTTCTCCAGTAAAAGTGAAACAAGTTCAAGGAAAATGCTCATAATAAACGTATGTATGTATGAGTTATGTATGAATACAAGAAACATACCACGACATAATTCTTTAAATCATTATAGAATGAGAAAAAAAAAGAAACAAGAAAAATGCAAATTACATGATAAAAACAGTCGTCACATGTACAATACACAAGGACAACATTTGAATCTAAACATTTGGTTTGAAATTCACACACGTCAAATAAACTGACTTTGTAAACATTACAATATTCTTATATAAAATGTATATGTAAGTATGTATGTATGTACGTATTCCCATTCATTTATACACTTACACATAAATAATTTTGATTTTTGCATAATTCATGTTTCAAATTTGCCAAGTACATTCATACATCGTTCTCACATCATACGTTTGCAACCAAGCAAGGAACCAACCAAACCACCACCATTATACATCGTTAAATGAACAGCAGCATTAAACCCAACAAACACATATATTTGATCTTAATTTAAGAATGATTTATAATCAAAAGCTTTCTTAAAAGGAAAGCATTTACACTAGAGACACTTTTCTTAATTTCAGATCAAGCCTTTGGTGATAAAGCCTAAAAATTTTCAAATGTTTGCTGGGCAACAAACAGCGTAATAAAGTAAAATGAGTGGCAGGACTAAAGATCTGTAGTAAAATTATAATTTTATTACTTATGTACATTGTAAAAACGTTTTAACGTATGTGTGTGTGTGTCTGTATGTACTGTAAGGAACATTATTGTGTTTAAAATATAAATTCGCAATAATTTATTTTTATTGAAATTTTTTCAACAACTTTTAAAACGTTTTATAAGCACTTAAATCAGTGGCAGGAGATTGTAAAATTATGCCACTTCCTTTTAAATTTAAATTAATACATAATGTTAACTTATTGTACAAATGTGTTAACAGTAAATTTTACGCAAGGCCTTGGTCTAAAACGTAAATAAGTCACCACCTGCAAGCATTTCGTCGGTACAATTTAACCAAATTATTTAACACCACATACGGAATTGTACCTTTGTAAAATTTACAAAGAAATTGGACATAACACCTTTTATATCTAAAGCTTAACATATTATCGACTAAAGCACAAATGATTGAAATTTTCCATTTTATAAAACATTTCTCTGAAATTTTAACATTATAATAATATTTATATAGTCTTCATATATTTTTTGATCCTGCAGAGTCCTGCCTATGATGAAATGCTTTGTCGATATATGCATTTATGTTTCTAAATCCATTTGTTTCATAGAAATTAAAGATGATTTAATAATTAAGCTTTTCAGAGGTAAAATTTTTGAAGATATTCATTCTTCTTTCACATGCGTCCTAATACACATTTTGTTCAGATGAGCATTTTTATAACTCGAACATTAACCGATTTTAGACTTAAATTAAAAAATGATGTCTGGAAGCTTGTGTAATGGAACACAATAACAATGCATTAATAAAAGTAATTCCACTGTAGTGTTTTTTTAATACAAAATAACTCCTTTGAAGTTTTATTTTTTCATTTTATATGGCACGCACTACGTACATATATTTATCCTCACGCATGTTTGTGTAAATATGTCCTTACAAATCTTTAAAAGGATTCACATACCTCAAACCATAAATGTTGAAATTCTTTCATATGTTGTATTGAACAATTTTACATTTTCTTTTTATTTTATTTTTTGCATAAGTATATGGGAGTTACAATAGAAGTCCCAGCAGTTCGGGAAGACGCCATTTTACCATTACATTAAGTACTTCATTACAAATACAATTACTTGTAACGTGTAATTGGGCCATTATTAATTACAATTACTTGCAAATTATATATTACCAATTACATGTAATTGTAATGGAAAACAGCTCTACTATCTTTACATTTTTCAAAAGAAGTAATAAAAATTAAAGAAAATATTGTTATGATTACTGGATTACAAGTAATTGTAATTGTTAAAACATAATTTACAGTTACTTATACAGTAATGTGATTGAAAATGTATTTCAAGCCTATAATCTTGGTTATAGAATGGCAACTAATCCTAACAAATTACAAACGCAAAGTACTTCGTTTATAAATGTTCGTTGATTCCCCAATAGATTATTTTTGGGGGATTAAAGTAATCATTTTCTTAAGATGATTTCAAAAACTGGTTAAAGCGTCTTTTCGCTAGATAATCTCTGAAAAAGGAATACACTGACTTTTTGAAAAACTGTTGGATTGTAGTGTGTCCCAAATGTTTACCGCCCGTCTAAAGCAATAACTTGGCAAAACAAAAATTGTAACGCATAAATTTTATATTAATTTTACATTTTTTTTTTCATTTTCATTTCCATTTTTAACTCCTTTAAGAAAACAAGGCATGTTGAATAGGTCATAGTGTTTGTTGCTAAAATATTAAAGTAATAAAAATAATAGAATCTCCTACAATCAATTCATAAACAAAATTTCTATAAAACTTTTAATTTTCAAAACTATATTATAGTTTCCTAATAAAGCATATTTTGACATAAAAAAGCATATTTCTCTAATTGTTTGTTAGCCACTAACGATTCGTTATAGCTAAATATATATATTGAATAGTTTTTATTGTTGTTTTTGTAGTTCTACATCAACATTGTAACACACTCATAAAATGTTTATAATAAAACGTAAAAAAATGCCATAATATCAAAAGAAAAAAAAACACAACATCACGCATAATACCCAGTCTG